GTGTTAACCGTCAATCAATTCAATCAATTCCTCAATCTCACCCATTAGGTCTCATCCCACAACCCCGTCAGTTTTAGTTTTAGTTTTAGTGTTAAAATATTCTTTGCATTAATTTTCATGTTGATTTCCCAAAAATGTACATATCTCTGTGGATTTTCAACTTTAATAAATCTGTCAATACATAATATGCACTCTTACTCTTTTTGTTATTATTAAAAAAAAAAAAATCTTGAATGCTTGAAAAAAATCTCTAAATTTAGAAATCTGTTGTACGTCGGCACTTGCCTAAATTCTTGCTTACTTTTTGTACTCATACAATTTATGTTTATGTACATATATGCATGCTTATAAAAAAATATTATACTTTATTTCTTGTGATAACCTTGTGATCATTGATCGTTCATCATTCTTCATTGACAGCACTTGCATATTTAGCGTAATTTAGTGTAATTTAGTGTAATCTAGTGTAAACTGCCAATATATTGTAATATATTGTAATTTAGTAAACATACTGCAAAATTTAGTGCAAATTTAGTGTAAATTTAATGTAAATTTATTGCAAATTTAGTGCAAATTTAGTGCCAGGAGATTTATAACAAACTTCCCCCTTTTTTTGTATTCTTATTTGTGAGCCTGATTATGTAATAATTTGCAAACTATCCTGTATGCGTGTGGAATTTTCCTCTTTAATATTAATAATTCTTTTTAAATCAATTTGTCAAAATTAATTAAAAACTTAAAATTAATCTATTTTCATATTATTTACTATAATCTTACTGTATCAGTATATGCTGTATATACTGTATAAACTTTATATAAAAAAAAAAAAGTTTAAACAATTATATGACACAAACAATACGACATCATAAATACGTAATTTGTAATTTGGTCTAGAATTACTCCCTTTCTTTCAAAATTAGTAATTAACTTGATGGTTTCGCGTGATTTTAAACCTAACAAATTTACTTACGTATCTAGTTAATGATTAGTCCCTTTCAAAATAATTTTTTGATTGTTTTTTTTTATTGTATAATAAAAATCTTTTACACACGTACGTTACCAGTACTTACGTACTCACGTACATACGTATGTACTGTGCATACGTATTAAATTTTTTTTGTTCATGATCTAGATCTAATACAGTCCATCTACTTGTCCTATTTTTATTTTCTAGATACATGTTGACTGTATGAAAATTTGATATCATTTAGTCATTCAGATTTTCAAAACATATGTATGTACGCATATTTCTTAAATCAAATTAACAGAATAGATAAATTAAAAGATTTAGATAAATTAACAGTGCAGATAAATTAACAGCGTAGATAAATTAACAGATTTAGATAAATTAACAGTGTAGATAAATTAACAGTGTAGATAAGTTATAACAGTGTAGATAAATTAACAGTGTAGATAAATTAACAGTGTAGATAAATAACAGTGTAGATAAATAACAGTGTAGATAAATAACAGTGTAGATAAATTAACAGTGTAAATAAATTAGCAGAGTAAATAAATTAAGAGTAGATAAATTAACAGAGTAGATAAATTAACAGAGTAGATAAATTAACAGAGTAGATAAATTAACAGAGTAGATAAATTAACAGAGTAGATAAGTTTAATATACAAATATATACGTAGTGAATAAAAA